GTAGGTATTAATTAATGGGTAGGACACTCGTGAAAACGACGGAGTTAGACACACGACGCTTCCTTATAAAAATAGGGGAACATAAAAGACTAATCGAATATAGCGAAATACAAGATGGTTCGTTGTTATATAATTGAAACAAAAAATAGTCATGGCACTTTCAAATGTCAGAAAATTTGCCCACTTCATTGTGAACACCGCTGTATTAATACTAACTTTCTCATTATCAAAGTGATTGCCTTTTACTAGAATTAACTTTATATGCTCTAATTGTTATTTATTTAACTTCAAAAAACCAAAGTTGCTACGATTAATCGAAAGTAAGTCTTGATTATGGGAATAGAATCAGAAAAAAATTAATCAGATCGCAACATAAACAAAAAATCAGAAAGTGAATAGGTTTCAATGTACCTATAAATGACATCGAAACAACTAAAAATATACAGTTCTATATTAAAAAATCGGTTATTTATTTACACCGTAAAAATGAAACACCCTGTACATTCCACAATAATTTCTATAGATACGCAACTATCTATAGTTGATATTTGCATAAAAGGTTGTTTGTATATTTTTTACCAGGTATAATCTAGCAAAGATCGCCGCGCTGTTGCAGGACCCTGTACTGTATAATTAATTGCAACTTTTCTTTTGTTACATTGAAATTATCATAGTGTCCATTTCTAATTTGAAAAAAATTAAATTGGTTTGATTGATCGCTAGCTGTCTAAGGTCATTTAACACTACAAATTGCTGAATACATTTTATTTAAAATAAATCAACCAGCAATGTTTTTTATTATCTTTGAAAATTAATGCACACCATATAAAATATTGGTATTGCCACCTAACATTATTCATGAATTTAAGTATAATATTAGGACCCACCTCCTAGTTAATAATAAAATAATAAAAATACTGGACTAGAACTTTATAAATTTATTAGATTCTTTAATTGTATTAAATAATCACAAACAGTAATTAGACAGTCTCTCAGGTCTGTATCATTATAGGTACTAGGTTATATTATGTAGAAAATCACCTATGGTTCCTTATAAGTAATATTTGGATATCACAAGAAAACATACAAAAAATGTTTCTATTCAACATTATTCTACTTAAAATTAAGTACTGGCACACGGAAAAAACCATAGTCTAGTACGAAAATTAAATACATGTAAGTACTGTATTGGTTGCGACAGTTCAAAGCCTCACAATCAGTTTAACCATGGGATGGGAGGCAGAGTCAATGGTTGGCAATAACCAGGAGAATTCGTGGTTTGGCCATGTAAGTTTTGTTTAGTGTTTTGGGTTGGCAATCTCTGCTGAAAACCTGCCTACTAAAATTTAAAAAAAAATAGGATTACTCGATCTTCATTTTAAAAATTGAACTAAAAGATTGCAAGCACCCTTGCAAAAAATAATAATAATAACAAAACTATATCTTACACTACATACAGTAAACATTGACAATCAACTACACACAAATCTATACAATGTAAATTCGTACAAAAACACCACAGAGAACACTACTAGTATTTTAATTGCCCTGTATATGCAGATCAAATTTGAAATTAGACCGATCTATTTTAAAACCCATAAAAATTCATTTGACAATTCTCTTTTGCATCAGTAACATCACAACAAAACGAAAAACTTTTTCATAAGCTACAAACATTAATGCTGCAGTTAATACAGTTTGCCACAGTTTAGCCTCTAATCCCTGAAATAAACCTTGAGGCCCTCCCTTCTTTGCTATCGCCAAAAGTAGTGCCAACATGTTCATTTTGCCTTCCTTTCCGTATCTCTGACGTGTCTGAGCTAATTGTAAGGGATAGGTGATCACAGTTGAAACAGCTTTGGCAGTTGCACCTATCATAAACACTGTTGCAGCAGTTTTAGGTGAAACTCTCCTTTTCAAAGCTTCATACACTGCAAATTGTAGGGCTGGATTTATAACCAACATTAAAGATGGATAAACTCCTGACCATAATGCTTGTACGCCTTCGGTTCGTGATATGTGGACTAATCCCTCTAACAAGCCAGTGTAGGGCACTTTTTTATTCACCTAGAATTATCTATGGCTCAAAGTTCAATTTTCTCAATATTGCAAAACAAACCTTTAACCTACTGTTAACAACCCACAAGGGCGTTGTTAACAAGACATTTGTAACTCCTGCTAAGAGACCCAAAACCAAATCATTCTTAACAGAAGAATTGAGCATACTTTTCAGCCCATGGAATGTGTAAAAATATACAAAGTTTGAGGTTCCCAAACTAATTAATACAGGTTTTATGCCAGCATAAAGACCTGCTCTATGAAACAATGTTGTAATATCATAGTAAATTGCCTGCAGTAAACAAACTTACAGTCCTTCTGTCTGCAGTAGTCTTCGTAGTGCGGTATATGTACTGCAATCGTCACTGTTTGTATCTTCAACTGGAAAGAAACCGGTACAATGCAATCATTGATTTTTAATCAATTCTTACTCTGCTTTCGAAACCTTACAGTGTCAAGGGGGTAGAAGGTTGTCATTGCGACTACACTGCCCTGCAATGAAAAATCACAGTCTCTCTGTACTGCAAGTTACAATGAGATACATACAACTGATCCTGCGATTGCATGAACACATGTTTCGTATGCGAAGAGGTTCCGTGCCATTGCTGTAGTGCTTAACGAAGCGTTGGGCAAAGATTTGACCGAATTTTAATGAAACTGAATAAACAAACAATTTATTCTATAATGATCACCACTACCACAACTGTAGTAATTGTTACATTAAGTCCATCACTCTCCTCTCATTCTAACTAAGTACTAAGTGCAGATATATGAATACCGGGCATCAGCCCCTTAAGGAAATGAATTTTAACTTTTTTGTGCGCTTGCGCTATTAAATGACAAAGTTTAAAAAAAATTGAAATGTGGCTTTGGTGGAATGGACTGTGGCTAAATTGAAGCTGCTTTTACTAAAGGGTCATTTACATTGGACGAGGTTACTGGGTAGCTTCGTTAACGAGCGGCCCAGCTCATTCATGATTTTGGACTTTATCTGTCTGTCCGTCCGTCTGTGTACATGATAACTAGCGAACGGTTTCAAATTTTCCAATTCTGTTTTCAGTAATAGGTAGACAGTGGTCAAGGGCGACGATCAATGATTAAATTTTTGTGATTTGTACTTTCTGTCCGCCCGTCTGTGTTTGTCGCTCGTTGGCTCTATTGATTTGAAACAGTTTAGTCTAAACGAGTAAGCAAAGGTGCTAGCACAGAGTACTAGCTGCTAGTCAACTTACTATACAACTTAAGTACTATTATAGTTACAACTATATGCATACGAACTAGCAGGTGGCTCAGCTAGTACCATGCGAACATAAAAATACATTCAATTCGAAATTTGCGAAGTTTCGATTTCGAAGCTCGAAGTTTAGACATCATGCATAAAAAGACAAAGTGTCTTATTGTGCAATTAAAATTGGAAAAACCCAAAAAACTTCTTTCTTCAGCTGTACAATGGTAAATAAATATTTTAAGTTTATTATATTGTCTGGTTAATTAAACATGTTTTTTTTATACCGGTATGTATTCATTTTTTTCCATGTTGTACACTAAAAATCATTAAATATATTATTTGCCTTATGTTTGGTGTCCGAATTTAATAACTACAGGAGGTAACTGCGATTTACGTGCAATTTAGGTACCCCACCACCTGAGCTAGGACACTATTTGTTTAAATAAAAAAATACTTCTCTTCATTTTTAAATTTTTTTCTGTAAAATAAATAAAGGAAATAGAAAAGAATATCAATTATTTTTTTCAGCTCCTTTCTCCCTATCCTGGAAAAACTTTAAATTTGCCCGAAATTATCAGAGGTAGGTACTGTACACGACTCAGATTAACAAATTGTTAATCTCAGATTAACAAATTGTTAATCTGAGGTACACGCGACCTATATTGCGATCTAAAAAATTCAGGCCGTTTCACTCAAAATCCATGTCAAAATAGTTATTTATGTATTAAGGGCATACACGTGATGTTTATATTCTCGAGGGTGATGAGCTTTTTAGTCACCTTAAAGTATAAACATCAGTTTATGCCCGTGGTACATACATAATTTTATGTTTTACAAATAGTTTCCTTCGTCAAAGTAAAATATTCGTTTACAAAAAAATTCATTGTTTGATCAAGTATGCGTGGTTCGAATTTGTTAATGGATTGAAACCATCCAAACATCAAAAATGTAATTTTAAATAATTCAATTCATCGATAATGAAGAAGTTCCAGAAACTATTCCAAATAAGGCCCTGAAGTTAGTAGGTATATGGACATTTAATAATAATTGACGTTTCTAATTTTCAATGACCTGCAAATATTTGTTTGTTTTATCATTAAGTATCAATCAGTTGCTATGGTGATACTTAATGATCTAAGGCATAAGCCTGTGTACACAGATATAAAATGTGCTATATGTTAGTAAGACATAACATTTTTTAAATCTCAAAATATGTGAAATAATTGCAAATGGAAACCTTCTAATTTTCATGTCTACGTCTCAAACGGTTTGAGCGTGAGAGCTTTGGTTCGATCTTTAATAGTAATAGCCTGTATAAATAGAAGTTATCCACCTCTGAGGATGAAGGAAAGTAAAATTTGGTTGGTTTCGGAAATTTGATAATTTTTTAAATAATTAAAAGCATAGGATAAACTTTTTTACGTTTAATACTAGGAATTTTTAAAATGACACTACTTTGCTGAGATTTTTTGCTGTAAATTGATTCATGGTAAAAGAAACCTCCCTTGAAATTCACTGTTTTTTGTTGGTGGTCCGGATACAGGATCACAACTATTGGTTTTCTCAGCATGAAAAACAATGGCTGAAAAAGAGATAAGGAAGGGAATCAGCAGGTAATATAGGAACACCTTTGTGCTATCGGGAACGTAAATCTCTATACAAAAGAATTAGGTATGTGTGCCAAATTACAGCAAATGACTCAAAAAGTTTCTCCACATACAAGATACATTAATGTAGCGCGCTCGCTTTGAGACCTGTCCCACTCCATTTGCGTCCGAAGTTGATAACTTGGGCTCGTGTTTATGAGCAAAATAGACACTTTTCCAAAAATTATTCTCCAACCTACTTGTGTTACAATTTAAAAAATAAAAAATTAAAAAGAAATTCAGGTTTTAAAATTCGACTGCTCCGCAGGGTAACCTTGGGGGCAATTTGCGCATGCGCTCTTTGACCCAAAAATGGGTCCCCTTTCAACACCCCTAAAGTTTGTTCAATTTTATTTGTAAAACAAATTATTGCCGCGAAGATAATTTATCGTCTCGCGATTCTGAAAACGAAAACGTCCATTAGCGCTCGCTTCGCGTCCCTCTCCCCTTCCTATCTATTCAATGTACTTTGGTTGTACGGATAAACGCCCCCTTTAGGAATAAAAAAAAAGTGCTATAACATATAACAAAGCTTTACAACAAACCATAAGTCTAAACAACAGTTTATTAAACTTTTAACATTTTTAGAAACTTTCACTACATAGATATCTCTCTATGGCAACAAAGACAATATGTCATGAAGATGATAATAAATAATACCACCAGGTATAATATCGTAGTTTACTGAACTTTTTTCTTAAACGATACACTACAAGCCGCATTGTAGAAGCTTGGGAACTTTTGTATGCATAAGTATACACAACCTAAGTACAAAACAATTGCTAAGGTAAGAATGAGATCAAATATTGCCGGTTTAACACTGAAAAAAGAAATGGTTTAGTAAACTAGTGGTGTAAAATGGAAGTATCAAACCTATAAATATTGACTGTTCCTCGTGTAACTTCGTAGAACATAAAGTCCGGGTCTCTTTTGTCTGGTGTCAGGTGGGTTATTCGGACATCTCGCGTATACCTTGAAAATGCATCTTTGAAAAAGTTAATTAGCAAGTTATCTTTTCCCGATAGCAACTGGGCAGAACGTGGCTGTGCTGATAAGAAATCCATCCACGCGCTTAAGAAGCCTTCGTCAATTTGCTAAAAATTAATGTACTCATTTAGTCAGTGTTTTGTGACCGACTTACTAAGCTTTTGCCAAACAGTTCAGTACCGGAGACATTGTATATATGACTGGCGAGCGCCTCCGCTATGAGCTGTGTGTGTTGCACTAATCTGTCCAAATTGAAGTTTTTGTACGTATCTAAGATAGTCCCCCTCAGTAAATCTTTGTGACTTTTCAAAGACGACAAAGTAAATGCAGGGAGGCGACGTATACTGAACCTCTCGTGTTCCCACGCGAGTAAGTCATCAGCCAAATTAATTTTTTTATGAACCCCATCAACGTTAATAATAGTTTGGCGGTCTGCCGCCAATTTAAGTTCTTTGAAATACGTGGACGCAGGAGATCCCTCCTTTGGAGGTTTTGAGACGTGCATGTACAAGCCGTCGCTAGATGCAAGAGTGTCCAAGCACATAACGTACGAGGCGTCTTGTATTATTGACCCGTCGAGAGAATCCAACTGATCTTCTAACCATTTCTTACTCCCCTGGTAGTTTAATTTACCACCACCGCTTAACAAAAAAATTATATTGTACCTTCCGTGCGTCTTTGGATCTGCATACAAAATTGAGAATAGTCGCATTAATTCAAGTAGCACGACTACACCGGACGCATTAGAATCGGCCCCAAACGACAGATCCTACAAAACATTTGTAAATTATTTATTTTTTACTTTAATTCAGTGTAATTAAGTTAGCCCCCCACCAACAGAAAAATTAAAGTCATATTCAAAAATGGGTGCCTCATGAACAACATCAGTAAATTAAAAATGGAGTGCTAGTTGAGATAAAGGTGGATCTACCCCAAAAAAAAAGACGAATGCTAAGTGAGAACTTGTTGCTGTGAAACAATAACTTTAACTTAGCAAAGAAAATCAGGTGCTATGTCAAAACCAACCTAGTGATTGAACATTATATAAAAAAAAGATTGGGTGGAAGGGCGGCCCTCGGGGGGACCAAAACAATTTTTACAATTAAATTAAATGTTCAAAATGGATCGTTTGGGAGTCCCAAAATGTGTGTACTTTATTAATTAGTTGCTCAGAACCAATATTGTTCTTTTTTGGTTGGGTCCAGCTGGCCCCACTCTCTTCGTTTAAGTTACTGTTGTTATTCATGAGCAATAAATAAATAGGGTAATAAATAATATGTGATAGTTTTTCTCTACTGTGTGGGCCCAACTTGATGACATGATGTAAAACTTACAGGTGCAACACCAAAACTGTCATAATGAGCAACAACAGCAATTGTGGGTGTTTTACCATCGACAGTATGACCCGGTAAAGTTCCCTGAATACTATTTATTTTAATATCAGTTTTGGGACTAGGGGTACGTGGATTTATCACAATTTGGTAACCATTAGCAGCAATGGAAGTAAACAATGCTTCCGTAGCAGACTTAGTCTTATCCTCTGCGGAGATCACAGTGGAAATTTCCCCGACAATGTTTTCCAAATCTGGAGTGGAATTAACGAAGTAGACCGGTATGCTTACTTCCTGAGCCAACATTGCATCTTCTAACACCATTAAGTGCTACAAATTGCTGGGTAAATTAAAGCCTCGGGTTGGTAATACAAATACCTGCTTCTCCTCGAATGTGAGCTGTGAGAAATCCTCCGGAAACACGATTAAAAGTGCACCAGCTTTATTACGTATATTACGGAAATAATCTACTGTAAGGTCCTGCATGCGGGTAACGACACAGTGCCTCGATGTCGCCCAGCTTTGCAGTGATCTGGCTTCTAAATTAACCGATGCACTTCTACACCCTAATTTAGGTTAAATCAATAACTCCATAAACTCAAATTATATTTACCATGTGATTGTCCATGCAGATCGTAGTGCTGCATTCTGTACACTGGAAATTCGTATGCGGCGGAGACCGGATTAATGGGTGAAATAATTATAAACATTGGTAAAACTATTAATAAATAATAGGGGAAATATCCCTTAAATAATTCCTCAGCTTCTTCTATCCACATTTTTGTCTATGGGTATTTTTTGTGGATATGGTTACACAACACTTTATCACCTTTGTATGCTAATTCACTAATTATTCACTTAATTACTATAAACTTTATTGCTTATCACATGGATGGTTGAATTGAATTGTACAGCATGAACTCAAAAGGGGTTAATTTGTAGTAATATTGATTGATGTATGAAAATAATTGCTGAGTATTTTATTCATAAAATTGGGCATGTTTCATACAATGAAATTTATTTTTATTACAAGGAAAATTAATAGAGGTCGCCACGCACAAATTGCACAGTACAACATTATATAGAACCATTGAATAAAAACACTATAAGAAGCCTAACCCCGTGGAAATAAAGCGCGACAGAGTTTGAACTGAGAATATAATGGGAACACTGTCAATAGAGTCGATTCTTGAACTGAGAAGAATGAGAATTTGCTTTCCTCCTATTTACCGCAATGAGAGTTCGGCGGTCACAACCAATGCGGGTGCAAGGGGATTTGTGAGATTTGTCGCGCTTTCTTCCATAAGCGTTAGGCTTCTTATAGTGTTTTTATTCAATGATAGAACTTTGTAATTGTTCCAATACAAAAGAATATCTGAGATCACTTGTCCCTCATCCAACCCATGTATTTGGCTAATTTTTATTGTAATAAGTTGATCTGAAATTGAAGTAAAAGTAGTAATCAGTTCACAATAAAATATTTTCCTTCACCTACTTCTCTATCTGCCCATGTTTTCAACTATGCTTGTGACTGTCGGGGGGGGGGGGGGCACGTGAACAATCGTATTTTTTAAAATTAATGAGAATTTTTAAAAAAGTATTAGGTTCGAGCCCATAGACCCGCACCAAGACTTAAAAGCCATACAAAATATTCGATAATTGTGCCAGACATATATACAGACCGAGCCCGTTTAAATAATACATAATAATAAATATACTTTATTATGCTATACCTATTTATTTATTTTAGACTTTTATTGAGGGGCGGGGTTCAGCCAAGGCTGCAGTACCAACCCAACCCACTATACATTTAGGTACCAATATCTATGCCCGAACCCAGATTCGAACCAGAGACCCTTAGTACCGCAGTGCAGCTTCAACTGAACTGCGCAACACGGGCGGGCCTATAAACAAAAATCGTTTCAACTCCACTTTTATATTTTTCATAATTAAAGCTAATTAATTATCTAGATTTATTTTACTATTTGAAATTACTCCAACACCCGGTACATTTTGGTACTTAGGTAAAATGAACATTATGGAATCTTAAGAGGAACTTGAACATAATACAACTTGTTCAAGGGCCACAAAAGAGGAAAAAGAGTTTATATTTGACTTCTCCTTACCTTTATTTCCCTGTTAGAAAACTTACAAATCATTGCGCAGTCTGCCCATGATTACACTTGATGTTAAAATATGCGATATGTTTGCCTTTACTATAGAAGAACCTTTCGCTAACATTAAAAAGAAATATATCTATAAATAAGAAAATTGACATTGCGTAGTTTGCGCGCACATCTGATTTTTACAAAGTGCGATATGCTTTTCTTTACTAGAAGCATCTGTACTTAAAATTTCAAAAAAATATCTCTATAAATAAAAAAGTTGACTTTGCACAAATGAATAGTCCAGATTTTCTTGGTTGAGGTGCCAGAGCTATAAGCTACCGAATACAAAAAGAACTAACTAAATGGTTTGAAAACTGTAGTAGTTAAAGGCTCGGACGAGTCTGTCTGTCTGTCTGAATAACAAGACGAGAAATGAACCATAAGGGCTATGAAAAAAATTAAATTTAAAAGTGCACTCTTCGCCTCTTGCTCTCAAGCAGCTTAACGAATTTTTTTAACTTATTGCAACATTGAATGATGAGAAAAAGATAAATCTACAAGCTGCTATAGCAATAAATCTTCATCGTCTTTCTGATTCTGGAAACGCCACATTGTGAAACAACCTGATTCGCAACAACCGAACATTGTTTATTGTTTGCACCTTGGCATTGAATATTTATTCAATGACCTTGGTCCTTGTGTTGTAGACAGTTTGTCTCAATTTTGTCTTGTCTGAGTAGGTATCTAATTTTTTGTCGCCATTTTGTCTCAAAATAGTTTTATTTTTGTCTGCATGGTCTGCACCCGGCATAAGGTTGTTTTGTTGACCGTTTTTCTCGTCTACGAGTAAATGCTAGGTAACAGACAACCCAAATTTGCTGGATAAAATACAAACCTCTTGTGCAAGTGAAAAAATTCCACTTTTGTCCGTCCGTCCGTCTGCTCCTCGCCTAACTTGGGAACGAAATGGCAATGTCAAACCTTCGAGTAGGTATGCGATTCTTCATATCTTGTTTTCTCCTAAGGCGCAAAATATTACCACAGTACAAAATTGCCCAATTAACCCTATAAGAAAAAACTCATTTGCGAAAAAATCGGACATAACGTCAAGTCAATTTGAGTTTTTTTAGTAATTTTTCACACGGTGCAAAACATTTAGGGAGAATGAGAAGGTAAGTGTTGTCTGTAACCGTGGGTTCGGTAAAGAAGAAAGATATATCCCTATTCATTACGGAAACGTATTTGGTGCATGGGCTCTGAACGAGAACGTACCAGTAAGGACACAGCAAACCCTTTACACTGGAAAAATTAGATCTTTTATGGTGCCAAGTATTGGCTGTTATTGACCACCCCATCGAATTTGTTGTCCAGAATGGACATGGAGTCGTTCCCTTGTAGTCCTAGCCAAGACGCCTAAATCGTGAGCATTGTACACAGCAAACCCTTTACACTGGAAAAATTAGATCTTTTATGGTGCCAAGTATTGGCTGTTATTGACCACCCCATCGAATTTGTTGTCCAGAATGGACATGGAGTCGTTCCCTTGTAGTCCTAGCCAAGACGCCTAAATCGTGAGCATTGTACATTTTGAGTTTTTTTAGTAATTTTTCACACGGTGCAAAACATTTAGGGAGAATGAGAAGGTAAGTGTTGTCTGTAACCGTGGGTTCGGTAAAGTTTTAAACCATGCTATCGAAATATAGCATTCCTACCAGAGGTAACGTGTACCAATTTGGTGAAACTCTTTCAAATCATGAATATTTTGTCTACACTTGACCGTGAGCTATTAGAGGTAATGTTCACTAAACCTTTAAAGTGGTTGATATAGTTTGCCATTGCGGGGGTGGGATGGGGGGCTGTATCGCACAAAAGTTGTGCACAATGTTTACTTGTTTAAAGCTGAGACACCCTTATATCCTGGTTACCGGTAACTGCATCACCTTTTACCCCTGACAACAATTAACTTCGAACAAATATTTCGAGCATTATCATTATGCGTATTTATTGTTACTATTGACTCGAAGGTTTTATTATTTTGTAGCCAGGCATAAACATTTTATAAGGTTAAGAGACTAAGTATAAAAATTTATTGCTAAGTTCATTACAAGTGATAAATACATAATACTTTCATCATCTACAACTACACGTTTCTATAACAATAAACGTTCAATAAATTTAGTTCTATGATATAAGGCTTTAGGTATAAAGGGCACAAATTTGAAATAATCTACTTTCGAAAGGTAATCAACAAAATACTAAACGGACACCTTAAGATCTACGGTAGTCATACAAACAACACGTGATATCGACGTTCTTCTTAAAAAAAAGTGCGAACCTTACAATTTCTAGAAAAGCAAGAAATAATTAAAAACGGTACTGGAACATTAGTAGACAGTCGGAAATGGAAGTAAGTTTAGGCTTGACCATTGGTTAATGGCTTATCGGCGGGAGCTTTGAGTTCGTTAGCTATTCCTTCGTGGCGATTTTTAAGAGGGGACGCAAAACCGTTTTGATGACCAAATCCATTTTGGATGAGTTTTGTTGGAGTCGTTGCCGGGCTTACGATTGTATAAACTTCTCCCGTGACTGGGTTCCTCTCTGCAAATTAGTTTATAGTATTGACATTCGAAATTGGGAATATGTCCACTTACCGGTCTTTATTTTTGGAGAAAGTGACGAACGATGTTGGTCCCATGAAGTAACACCATTTCCCGTAACAGGATTACGCACTGTTACATCTGAAATGTGACACGAGTTAGTGATGGGGTAATTTTGGGGAAGCGTGCACAAACCGTGTTTATTTAAAGATAATTTGCGAGGTGTGTTAGAGCCAGAGCTTCCAAAGAGGCGAGAAAACGAGTCGTTATGGCTTTGACTTCGGCGGGGAGTACTTGTGCCATTGCTCTGTGGTGATGATTCCGGAGAACTGAGAACGGTGAAGATGTCACTTGGTGGATTACGAACTCTGTAAAGAATTTATAGATTAATATTTCTTATAAACGGGAGTCGAGAAAAACCATTACATAAATACCATTCATACATTCTCACGTAATAGATCGACTTGCATGGTACCTTTAAATTTTGTTCCGATCGACTGGACTGTGCATCGATGTATAGGCTATTATTTACGAAATACAATACGATAAACTTTCACTACAAAAGTGTTTGTTACTATACTGGTCACAAAAGGCATAGTTATAATTATGTATTAAAAAACAGTCTTGATTAGGCGGTGGGATTATATTCTATTACAGTAATAACTTACACCTTCAGCGTTACTAATTATAGGATACACTTGAAAGAAAGTCTAACGCACGTAGAGCCCTGCAATAAATATTAAGTAAGTAAAAGTTAATTAATACACGTCAGGAAATTGGTTATCCTTTCTATAATTTTTGAGATAGTAAATTGAGGTACATGCACTGCCGTACAAACTTTTCGACAAAAAACTGCGATAAATACTTTCGTTTAGGACCGCAATTATTATTAATTTAAAAGCGACTTCATTAGCAACTTTCACACATGTATTGAAATAATTAGGTTTTATTTCGCTCATAGATTTTAAATACGGGTTAATGAGAACAATCGATATGGTCATGGTAGGTACCGTTACGTGTACCTATAGGTAGGTATAACATAATCGTAAATACCTTCATTTTATTAATTTTCAGTACTATATTTATTGTTATAGATATTATATAGAATTGACCTGTTATTATTAATAACAATGTTTGCAGAACTATAGAAGATAACTTGCATTCTTGACCGACCTATAAACGACTTTTACCCACATACGGTACCTGTACCAAACACAAACTTTATAGTCTAGTCAAATTAGCTCTAAAAGTAGTATAAACTGGATGTTGTCATTTCACTGATCGAAACCAAGCGTATTCTATGTAAAAAAGTCCGCCGAATGGGAAAATCTGTCCCCCTGCCCGGAAACGCCCGGAACATATTGTTATAAACAAAAAACGAAAAAAAAATGGGAAAATGTCGTGTTTTTTCACATTTTACTTCGAATATCTTATGGAAAAATAATAGTTGAAAATGAGCGTTCCGGACCAGCTGTCTCTTAAAGAAAATTTTATTCTATGTTCATTTGACATTTCTATTCATTTTTTCCCCTCAGAGCAATAGTTAACGAGATATTCGAAGTCAAATGTGAAAAACACGAGATTTTCCCATTTTTTTTCTTCGTTTTTTATTTATAACAATATGTTCCAGGCGTTTCCGGCCAGGGGACCATGATTTTCAGATTCAGCGGATTTTTTTTACTTAGCATACGCTTGGTTTCGTTGAGTGAAGTGACAACATCCAGCCCAAACCGTAATTTGACTGGACTATTATAAATACAACGGCTAAAGAGACCAAACAAATGATTGTCTTTGATTGCATTTGAAGATCACTAACACGATAAAAAAATGTAGGGTATAGCTATTGCATATGTATAAAATTGTAGAAAAATTGACCAAGTTTCCCATAATTAATCTATTAGAAAGCAAGGCCTTGGAACTGTTACATAGGGTGCAGTAGAAGTTATCGAAGATTCATTCTCAATTGGGAATTAACAAAAGTGTTACATTTTTTGCCCAATCGCGTTTGTTCCTTTGTGAACTGATTAAAGAAGCAGGCCAAAACTACTGACTACAGAAAATAGAGTTAAAAAATATATTTTCTCGTGTTAGCGTGGTAACAATCCTGGATAGACAGACAAAAAGTATGATTGTATAAAGAAACTTTCATCTTAAAGATTGTCGTTCATAATAATGAATGCTAAATGTTATAATTCACCAATTAACCAGTGTAAATTGAAATAATAGATTTATTGCTACGTATTAGTCGGCGTCCCTTCAGAAGAATGTCCGGGATCTGAGAGCAGCTTGGGAACCTTGAGAACATGAGGTAAATCTGAGGACAAATTGTAAAGGATTTGGTAGAAACTTCACGAAAATTTGAGAGTAACGTAATGGTAAATTGAAGGAACGTGAGGAAAATTTAAAAAGGAACTTTACAGTCACAACGCATGTTAGGAAGAGAGAGAAGCTTGAAAAGAACTTCACGAGAAGTTGAGAACAACTTGAAAGCGGCTTATAAGAAGTTTGTGAGAATCTGAAAGATGGGAGTTGGAAGGGAATTTTAGGAGAAATTGAGAAGGATTTGAAAGGAAACTTAAGGAAAAGCTAAAGAGGAACTCTGGGAAAACTTAAATAGGAACGTGGGATGAAATAGAACAGAACATGAATTTTAGGAAAACTTGAAAACCTGAGAGAAATTTCAGGAAGACGGTTAATTGGAAATGAGCAAAACCCGAGGACAACGTGCTTGGGGAATATTTCAAGACAAATTTAAGGCGGCTAAGAAGAACTTGAAGGGATCATATGAAGGAAAAGGTTCGCGTAAGGGAAATACGAGCTTTGCGTCGTTGTTCGCTTTACTGTTAATACTTGGAAAAACGACAATAACCTTGAAATTGTAAACCTTAGGAGCTTATAAGTATTGCTAATTGGCTGGCTAATTCTGTGACCGATGGGATAAAGTAAATCCATATATAAAAAGGCGAGTTGCGGAAAATACGATCCATTGAAGATGAAATAACCTACATTTTCGTATTATGATTTAAAAGGGGGTCGATAGTAAGCCTGCAGTTGATATGACAAAAGCGATCCATGTTTTCTATAGAATAAGTATTCCACAAACACTACCTACCCATATTGCAATTAAAGTCTGCAGTCAATGTAAAAAAACGCGATCGGTGTCAAAACAGCAGGGTGTCGCGAAGAATAAGATCCTTAGAAAATACGAGATGGACCCGTCCCACATAAGAGGACGTCGATATGCAGACCGCGAGCCATGGAAAAACTGCAGACCCCAATTAAATAATTAAGCCTACAGGTTTAGTTAAACATGTATTCCCTTTTAAGTGGTATTGATTACAAGTTTAGCGCCATTCGAGAGGGTGTTTCCTAATTGACAGCTTAACAAAACTAATTACAATGATTTTAGTGCGTATATGTGCCAGTAGGAAAAATAGGTTTTCGGATGAGTTGCATTTGTGATGAACTGGAATTTGGTCCGGGTGTGTCTTGAATTGTCTTTTGACCCACTTTTGAAATGAATAAATTGAAATCAACACTCGAAGTTGTCTCAGACATGAAAGATTTGTTACCATAACTGCAGTAAGTATACTCTTCCACAGAACAGATCAAATTTGAATTTTATTCAATTTCTCATTGAGAAGGGTGCGTATATTGCAGATATAAAAATGTAAAACTCGAAGGCTGCTGGAAATAAATACATAATCATTTAAGGATGTACAAAAAATTCTGATAAAGTATAACAATTTATATATAATTAGGGTAATAACCCAGTTGTTGATTCGATGGTAGTTTTTTAAGTTAGTTCACCTCTCGATACGTGTAATAATATCCCAGGTATTATCTTCTAAATTATATTAATATGCTCCAGGCAGCCATTATGAGCAATTTTCAATTTATAAGGACTTCCGCCATCAGGTAAACTATTATTCATACATTTTACACTTAAGTTTTTTCACAAATGAAGACAGCATTCTAAAGTCGGGCATTACCTACGTCTTGCTAGCGTTAAGCTTTAAAACCGATATCATTTCCGAATAAGCCGCTGAAACTTTTTCTTTACCACACACCATGAGGCACGCGTCACCATTTAATCCGCCATCTGGCACGACAAAAGCCATGATCACTGCTCCACCGCATTTAAATGAATTATTACACCCTAATTGTACAGTGAGGTTAAGGTCAATCATGCCAATGGATTTTCCATTCGAAGCAAATGCTCATTTATTACCTCTCTAATCAATCATCATTATTTCTGAAACTGGTACACAAGGAACTTAATTTAAACAAAACGTAAATGCTTTACATGAATATAAGGCACCTATTACACTATCATAACAGGAGGGAATCGTGCTGAAAGAAATTATGAAACTTTCACAAAATGATTCTTCGTCGCAAGTTGTCACGTAATGATATGCACGAGTGCGTTTACTTTAGAATAACAAAAAAAATATTGTACTTATAATAAGATCTTCACACAAAGCAGAAGAAATTATAACTAACAAAAAGAGACTGTTTTGTTTTATACGAGAACTCATTATCTTTACAGATGAAAGATTTTGAGATGAACTGAAACGTGAATAGGAAAGTTGAAGAACTGGCAAAGAGTTCAAACCTTCTATGCTAGTTCTTTGTCGCGGTTTGGTGTAATATCTATACCTAATAAACCAACAAGTTTTTTGGTGACTTTGATTATGGCGCACGAAGCTCCAAGCGAGTAGAAAAAGTGACTGTGGTTGGGAAATAAATTATTATATGTTATTACGAAACAATCTTTTCAACGTTTATTTTATCTTCAGCACACATTCTGTAATTATTACTTCTGTAACACGCAAAGGTGGCTATTTTTAACCGCCACATTAGAACGAGGTTCATGATCATTGACCGGACGAAGTCGCAAAAGTTTAAACGAAAATTCATTCAGTAGTACAAGGTTGTGTGGGTTACATTTCGTAATTATTTCTGCCATTTGAGGGATGATATCCCCTTCCTGCCAATTTCGTGTTAACTTATTCATGAAAGTTAACATTTGTGTTCAAGATACCTTTACAAGTTGCGTGTTGGATTCCTCATCCATTTCAACTGGTTTTTGCAGGTGAAATAACATATTGGGAGCGCTCCATATGCTTAGTTTTGTTTATAATAGAGGAAATAGAGATCATTACTATAAAATTTTTTTTAAACTTTTAAACTTTGCGTCGTGCCCTTAAACTCGTTGCGCGTGCTTTAAAGACTTGATTATACACTTGTATCTTAATATACTATTTTAAACTATAATATTTGAATGTGGGTAAAAAGTAAACATAAAACAACCCTTACTAAGCATATTTTGGTGAAGAAGCTTTGATTAACTTATTATACATAGGGT